AATTGCAACCCCCATTGTTCCAGTTCTTGCATCCATAAAATTTCTTACCGGGATTTGATGGAGTCTTTGATATGCGTAGTTGAGCAGGTTGACGGTAGTAGCAAGACAGATTAGAAGGAGAAGAGAACGAAGAAGATGAAGACATCGGCAGCGGTTCTCGCTCTCTCGGTCGCCACTCAAAGAAATTGAAAAAATTAGGGTTCTAATTTGGGGATTTGGTTTGATCGGATATTTAAGGGGATAAAATCTGGTGATTTGGCATTCTTGATTTTCCACCTAGCACAATAAGAATAATTATATTAATTCGGGTGACGCCACATCAGATAAAAAAATGCCACGTCGATATTTAATCCGGGGGTGGGATAAAATAGGACCAACTTTGATTAAATGGACAATTTATAGGACCAAGAATGAAAGTGGCCAATGGCGGGGTGGTTTTTTGGACAGAGGCCAACTTAGAGGACCAAAAATGAAATTTTGCCTGCTTTCTCCCGTGTGTTCTATGCCTGGCCACGCTGAATCCAACAACGGCAATATGGGTTTGATCAACCATTATACCATTTCCCCGTGGGAAAAAAATTTCTCGTACGTGGAACACATTTGAAATAATGAACTGAGTTCACTGGATTGACCAATTGTTTCCCGCTATTAATTGTGTTTTAGTGCTATTTTTAACATAGATTTATTTTATTAAAAATAGCAACACAATATGTATTAGCATTTGTGAAAATGATAGCACCATGTGTTAAAAATAGCATCATACACAATTATAAATAGCATGAAATATGGTTCTCACGGTTCTCACAACAAAACTAGTTTTTATTTGAACCAGCCTATATATATAATTTGGACGGTTATTTTATTTTATTTTTTTTTTTTTTTTTTTGTAATATTCTAATGCGCATTTTCACACTATTGTGCATTTGATTTGACAATATTGTGTAGTCTGACTTCTAGTAATGTGCATCTTTTTTTGTAATACCATGAATTATGTAGTACGAGATTTTTTCATCCGTTTGTTAATCGAATTAACTTTAATAATCGAAATAAATTATTATTTATATCATAATATTATTATTTATTAATATTTTATATACATTTTATATTTTATATTATTTTTGGTTTATAAAAATATATTTAGTATTTTAATATTTTTATTTAATATCTTTTTATTATTTTTTTGTTGAAAAGTTATAATATACAAAAAAAAATATTATTTTTTGTATAGTTCGGTCGGTTGATTATTAAAAAAAAGCTGAAATTGAATCGAAATAACCAATTTTTTAAAAGTAAAGAACGAACAATGAATTGACGTATATAAACCATATAAAAAAAATATTCCGGTCGGTACATACACTAAAGTGCAATATTACAAACACAAAAAGTGCAACCAACAGTCATTAATGTGAACGTTTTTCAACCGCGGTTGTGTGGTGTGAAAGGACTGAACATCCGTCCCTACCAAAATTGAAACTGAACACTATTCTGTATTTCAATTTTGAAAAAAAAATAATATTGTGTATTATAATCAAAATTACTGTGCATTTATTAAATTATTTGTGTAATAAAAATATATTTAGTATTATAATTTTTTTATTTAATATTTTATGTTATTAATTTAATTAACATTGTTGTGCATTTGTTATGCTAAAGTGCAATCTGACTGTCACAAAAGTGCAAATCGTCAGTCAATAATGTGCAATATGTCTAATAATATGTTAATATATTATCTTATTTTTATTAAATTTTTTGGTTTATTATTTTTTTTTTTTTAAATATAAAATTTGTATACTTTTATATACTTGTAAATTACATATTTGACCTATGAGTTAAATTGAAATATAAATAAATTATTAAATTTACAATTAGGTCCGTATCTCAGTCATTGCCTGTATCACCACCATCACTCCCGTCGGCGAGGGCGTGAGCTTGCAGCGAAAGTGAACCATGCGACGAGGGTACCGTTCGAAGCTTTTCACCCCGATCGCCGGCTGAATGTGTTTGGCGACCGCAGTGAAGCCGACGAGAGTCGTGACTGTCTGTGAGTGTGCATGTGTATTCTCATGGGTCGCTGGCGGCGGATGCTGAACCTCTGTGTGTGTGTGTGTGTGTGTGTGTGTGTGTGTGTGTGAGAGAGAGAGTGAGTGAGTGAGTAATGTGTGTGAAGAGTTTGTTTGTGTGTGTTTTTTGTGCTGACGTGTGTGTGCGTGAGGTGGTGTGTGTGGTGATGTGGCATGGTGATGTGTAATGATAATGTCCAAATTACCCTTAATACACGTATCATTTTAGCTTTCTTTAGCCATTAGATCATCTAATCTAATGCCTACGATTTATTCTTATGTCCTTCATTGAGCACTATATGTGTGTGCGTACATATATATATATATATATATAATGAAAATTAACAACGGTAATGATGATGATTAAGTTGTATGAAAGCCGTACACGAGCGAATTAAATATAATATTGATGTCGGATTTCGTTATACAGGAAGTCGGTTCTTGTAGTAGCGAGCTAACAAATGATGGAATTTAATGTGTCGCAAAAAGATCCTCGTGATTAGAGTTAATGCGGATATTTATAGTGACTATGGGTTCGTCTTTTTAGACTGATTAGACGGAATTTAATGCGAGTTGACTGCATAGAGCTAGCTATCTTGCAGGTGGGCCTGTGAGTAATGATTAAAGCACGTGCGAGCGACGCTTGATTGACAGGCGTCCCCTCTTTGTCGATTTGACCTCGACCTTTCATGACCTCGGTCTTTCACTGATGTCGGTCGGAGGTCCACCAGTCGAAGTCGATTCTTCCGTTTTATCTCGTTCCGATGTACTCGGAGTCAGTTTGCTTTTCTCCTTCTACCCTCTGCTTCTCTTAGTCTCCATTTAATCTTCCACGTGGCACCTCCTAACTTGACGGTTCGGGTCGAATGTCAGCAATACTTATATGTTATATACATAGTTAAATGTTATAAAACAAGTACAAACTGAAATTTGGTTGAGCAACAAAAAAAAAATATTATAATCTAATATGTGTGTGTGTGTATTAACATCCTGAAAAGCGTTTATAAAGTGTTTTATATGTCAATGTTGTATAGATTGTTGGTATAATAAGTAAAAAATATAAATTAATCCCAAATATCACAAATTGTGGTTAGATAAATGTTATGTAAATAAAGGCGCAACGTATACTGAAAATATACTGATTATAAACGCAACATATACTTAAAATATTCTTTATCCAGTGAAATTTATTTGCCATCTCTCTCTCTCCTCCTTATCACCGCCATCTTCTCCAGCAACATCTGCCTCGCCGTTGCTATTTCTACCAAAACATCACCGTCATCCCTTCCTCCCTCCTCCCGCATATGCCAATCTCATCTGTTGTAAGAAGGGAAGAATACCGCTAGCCTGGACCAGCTGAAGTCCTACCTCCACCGGTTCGACTACCTCGACCCCTACCCCTCCACCAACCTCTTGAAAGACCTATTCCACTATGGCCTGGAGTCCGTCATCTGCTCTTACCAACTCAATTTCACACAACATGTAGGAGAGAGAGAGAGAG